CATATAATGTACTTTTGAAAACAATAATTTACGCGGATAGTAGACAATATATGTATAATCCAAATTAAATATTCCTTCTTTAATTATGTTGAGAGCGTGACGAAAATTTTTAACATATGATTATCTAACTATAGAAAACTTTAATAAAAGATTTTTTAAATAATGACTAAAATATTCTTAAGCAAACGAAAATATTATTTTAAAATTTCAATATGCGAACTATATGTGTACTACATGATGAATTATATAATGAATTTATCACATATAATATCTTATAGCTGCTTAATGCAATAATACGATTAAACGATTTTTGCGAATTGTTTATATCCATTATGCTATTTTGGGGTCATTTTATATATATGTTTATGGCAAACTATTGTGGACAAACAGTTATCAATCATAGTACAGAAATATTACAAGCAGTGTAAGTAATGCATAAATTTTTGAAACAAAATATAAAACAAAATAATAAATTTTAGTAAAATATAAATATACACAATACGTAATGTTGCATTATATTAATAAAATTATATAATAAAATGCAACAAATTTATTTATTAAAGTTTGGAGTTTGTTAAGAAATGCATTTATTTGTCCTACTTATATAATAATACTATTTATTACTTAATCATTATGTAATATTTATTACTTAATCATTATGTAATAATTTATTCAACATTTGATAGTTGATTATCTTTTAGAGGCCATATCAATATCAATAAAAAACAACTCACTAAAGAATATTAAAATGTTGTTTCTCTAAATTTGTAGATATGATACGTTATGGTATCTAGCTCCGTTATCGATTCAAAAGTTGTTATTGATTCTACTAAAGTCTACGAAATCTTATTCATTCAACATTGGTGGTATTTTTACTCCATCACTTGAAGGATTTTCTACGGTAATAAATGTTGTGTAAAGATATTCATAAAAGTTATTACTTTTATTAATGTATTTAGCAGTTGAAGTAAATATTTAATTATAATAAAAGGGAAAATTCTTGTTTTAGCTTATTACTTCGGCAATATCATATTTTACAGTAATGTATACTATGTAATAATGATGAGAAAATGGTAAAAAGTTAGTCATTCAAGTAGAAACAAATATTTAATTAATTATCAAGTAGAAACAAATATTTATTTAAATAATTAAAATATTTAATGCAGAAATAATCTGAGACAAATAATTAAAACTCTTTAGATATTGTCTACACTCAACACAACAATAAGTTATAAACAGATCTAATCAGTACACATCATCAATCTTGATTTCTTGAATT